CGACTTGGGAATTTTTAAAGGTAATTTTATGTCTTTTTCTTGATTTTTATATTTTTCGGATGTTTACGAATTAAATTTTTTGATATTTTCAGGGCAGGCACGAAAATATGTGAATTTTTGATATTTTATTCGTATCGATATTCTAAGGTGACAGGTGAGATTCAAAAAAATTATGAGGTGTTTATAGTTCTTTTTCTTGATTTGTATATTCTTCAAACGTTTACGAATTAAATTTTTTGATATTCTTCAGAAAATCATGAAAGGATGTGAAATTTTGATATTTTATACTCTAAGGTGACTGCTGCGATTCAGGAATATTTTGAGGTGTTTTTATATCTTTTTCTTGATTTTTATATTTTCGGACGTTTACGTATTAAACTTGTGAAATTTTTCGAGCAGTCACGAAGAATGTGAAATTTTGATATTTTATTCGTATTGATATTCTAAGGTAACTGGTGCGATTTGGGAAATTTTTGAGGTGTTATTATATCTTTTTCTTAATTTTTATATTTTTCGGATGTTTACAAATTAAAATTTTTGATCTTTTTTGGGCAGTCACAAAAATATGTAAAATTTTGATATTTTATTTGTATCAAATTCTAAGGTGACTGGTGCGTTTTGGGAATATTTTGAGGTGTTTTTATGTCCTTTTTTTATTGATTTCTATATTTTTCGGACATTTACGAATTAAAATTTTTGAAAATTTTCGGGCAGTCACAAAAAAATGTGAAGATATTTTATTCGTATCAATATTCTAAAGTGACTCGTGCGATTTGGGATTTTTTTAGGTGTTTTATGTCTTTTTCTTGATTTTCATATTTTTTAGGCAGTTACGAAAAAATGTGATATTTTGATATTTATTCGTACTGATATTCTAAGGTGATTGATGCGACTCGGAAATTTTTTGAGGTGTTTTTATGTCTTTTTCTTGATTTTTATATTTTTCGGACGTTTATGAATTAAAATGTTGATATTTTTCGGGCAGCCAAAAAAAAAATGTGAAATTTGATATTTTATTCGTATCGATATCCTAAGGTGACAGGTGCGTATCGGGAATTGTATGAGGTGTTTTTATGTCTTTTTCTTGATTTCAATATTTTCAGACGTTTATGAATTAAATTTTTTTATATTTTCCAGGAAGTCACGAAAAAATGTGAAATTTTGATATTCTATTTGTATCGATACTCTAAGGTAACTGGTGCGATTCGGGAATTCTTTAAGGTGTTTTTATGTCTTTTTCTTGAATTTTCAATTTTTCGAACGTTTACGAAATAAAACTTTTGAAATTTTTTGGGCTGTCACGAAAAAATGTGAATATTTGATATTTTATTCGTATCAAAATTCTAAGGTGACTGGTCGATTTAGAAATTTTTTGAGGTGTTTTATTTCTTTTTATTGATTTTTATATTTTTCAAACGTTTACAAATTAAATTTTTTGATATTTTTCTAGCAGTGATGTGTCGCAAAATCTTGGCACATTTGATGCTTAAAAACTAAGGACTAAGACTAGAATCGAGTGTATTTATGTGGATATAATGTGTTTTGTAGTGTTTGTATAGGTGAAAGTGAAAGATGAAAGAAAAGAAGGTTGTTGATAACCAAATGCTAAGTGAAGACCACGGAGCCCATTACGGGCCATGGTCCTTGTCACGATCCGTGGTGGCTGCCGTGAAAGGTGAACCAGTGTGAAGACCTTGGTAGAATTGAGAGTAGAGTAGACCAAGTGAAGATCACGGCCAACCTCACGGACCGTGGTCCTCACAACGGTCCGTGGTGCCAATCGTGAAGGTGAACCAATGGATGGGCAAAGAGAAACTTAAATGGGAATTGATCCAAGTGAAGTCCACGGACAACTACACGGACCGTGGTCACTGTCAAGATCCGTGGTAGTGTTCGTGGTAATGAGACAATGTACATGTCTTGAAGAACCAAGTGTGGGTTAGTCCAAGTGAAGACCACAAAGGGCTTCACGGACCATGAACCCCTTGACGGGCCGTAGAAGTGGGCATGAAGGGCCCGACATTCCAGTCCTACTTCGAGTAGGACTCCTTTTTAAAAACACTTATTTGAATTAATTAGGTCATTTTTTATGTTGGATCTTATCTTACCTTGAACGACGAACAAGTTTCCATTATTGATAGCTTTTGGTTTTCAATTATGGATATTAAATTAACTTTGAAGTTCAGATTTCCGATTCTTAAATTATCAAAATGGTTGTTGATTGCTTATTCTCGTAAGTACTTTCTAACATGTTTTCATTCGATATTTTTGAACATTTTACGTGAAATCATGAGTGGCTAAACGCCACAACTGGGGTTGTGGGATCCATCACATAATTCTAATTGTAATTTCATAAAACGAGTGAAAGGTGATTTATGTTTACAAGTTGTAATTTAGCTTTTGTTATTCATGTATTCTGATGAGTGCACGCATTAGAGTGAGCCTGTATCTGTCATTTGTTCGAGACAAAAATGATAGTTAGGAAAAAGTTAAATTAATCTGACGAAATGGAGTCAAGGTTTAAGTTCGAGAGCAAAGAACCTTAACACCATTGTAGGCGAGGGTAAATCATTTAACACTCTAGGACCAAGAGGACTTGAGTGAAGATTATCTGAATAGACTGAGAAGTGTCAGATATAGTTAACTCACATGTATTTTGTAGAGGTAAATTGCCTGAAACTCAACTACGGAAGAACATTAGATTGCAACGTTATGGGGAACACAATCCTAGTTTCAGTTAATTATTGAAACAACTTCGAAACTGATATTTTATCAATTGTTGAATTAGACTTTAGTTTGCAACTTTGGTTACCAAAGCGTTAACGCTAAACCCAATTTTACTTTCCATAATTGTTTATTTAGGAAATACTAACGACATTTGGGTAAAACGCGACAGTGAAATCATTTTTGTAAAGAAATTCTCTGTGGGATCGAACTCAACTCACGTTGAGTTCTATAAATTGACTTTGACCGTTTATATCTCTTAATTGAGGTGTAAGTTTGGACGTATCAAATTTTGGCGTCGCTGTCAGGGAATTTCAATTCAGAAGTGTTTTACTAGATTTTATTCTAAGTTTAGTTAGATTTCCTAATTTTACGTCTTGTTCTTTGTCTGTGTCCTTTTCAGGTGAGTTCGATTGTGTATACCAGAAGTAAGGGAGCCCCATTAGTCCCATACGATCCAAAACTTCAGAAAACAATCCACAAGATGGTGAACGCACAAGACCTTGAGGCATAGAGGCTGAGATTTGGATTGGAGGCTGAAACCATCGCAAGGGGTATTCAGCCGAATGTTGTGAACAACCCACCTAGGGCAGTGGACGAAAACGTAGCAGGGGAAGGAATCATTCCTCCCCACCGCCAACCAATAGCTCTAAGGGGTAGAGCACAACATCCAACTCACATGATGTATGACGAAGATGATGCAGGCTTGGATGGAGCTGGAGCTACAGGAGCGATAGTGTTACCTGCACTACCTCCAGGTATGAAATTCACAAGCACCAGCACGATGATTCAATTGGTGAATCTGAAAGGTATGTTCAGGGGTGCAGTTGGTGATGATGCGAACTAGCATTTGATGAACTTTGTGGCGATCTGCAAATCGCAAGAGATTCCTGGAGTAAGTCAAACATCGATGAGATTGAGGTTGTTTCCTTTGTCTCTTACTGGAGAGGCAACCAACTAGTTGAATGAGATGCCTGATGACTCAATCAGGACTTGGACTGAACTGAAGGAAGCTTTCCTGGAACGATTCTTTCCGGAATCAAAAGAGTTGCAAATGAAAGATGAGATAAGTGCCCATAAGCAGCTACCAGGAGAAGCAATGCATGACACCTGGTGGAGATTCAGCCAAAAGCTGAAGAAGTGTCCAAACCATGGTCTCACTGAGAGGCATCTAAAACAGGCTTTCTATAGATCTTTGAATTATGTCACTAAACCTTTTGTTGATGCAGTGTGTGGAGGATCTTTTATGAGGAAGCCGTTCTCAGAGAGCATGCAACTGATGGGCAAAGTATCAAAGAATAACAGGGAATGGTACACCAGGGATGCAGAAGTCGGAGATCTTGGGTATACCTTTGGACTTTCAGCTGAACAAAGGAAGAGAGAGGAAGAAAAGGATCAGGATATGGCATACATGAGGACCCAAATAGATCTACTCACGAAGCATATTGTATCCAAGCCTGAAAAGGTAAATGTCGTGGGACAGCCAAACAGGTACGAAGATCAGGACATCGATTTAGATGAGGAAGCTAATTATTTGGGAAACCAAGGAGGTTTCTGGAATTATAACTCGGGCAACCAGGGTTACAATTCTGGAAATGCAGGTCAGAACTACTCAAGGGAAGGACAGTATTATAGACTAGCAAATAGAGAGCAGGAAAACTGGCAGAAAAGAGATGGGTACAGGAATGATCACAATGGTGTGTACGTACCCCCATGTAATAGAGATCGGGAGGTGGCAATTCCAGCGGGTCTAAGCTGGAGGACATGTTGGCCAAGGTACTCCAGAAAGTTGAATCAACGGACGTAGGGGTGAAAGAGATGAAAGGTGAATTCTCCAGAGTGCGTCAACTAGTAGACTCTCACACCACCTCCATCAAGCAAATTGAGCAGCAGTTGGGGCAACTTTCAGTCTCATTAAATCAGAGGAAGAATGGGTCACTACCTAGTGACACGATCCAAAATTGGAAGAAGGACGGGCACTGCATGCTATTGCCACCAGGAGTGGTAAGATTCTTACTGACCCAATTTATGCAGGCACTAAACATGAGCAGGTGTTGGAGCAAGCTAGAAGAGAGGAGGATGAAGTTGAGCAAATAGATGACTTGGAGGATGCTCAACCAATAGCCAAACCAGCAGGAGCGAGATAAAAAGAGGTTGAGGGAACCTTGCCTTTACAGCAAATCCCAAGACCATCTCCTCATTTCCCTCAAAGGCTTAAAAAGAAAGCCAAGGATGGGAAATTCGCTGAATTCATCACCATTCTGAGATAGCTGTCCATGAACATACCATTGGTGGAAGCCCTTGAGCAGATGCCAGGATATGCCAAGTTCATGAAAGACTTGGTCACAAAGAAAAGAGCTGTAAGTATTGATTTAACTGACAATGTTCATCACTGCAGTGCTATTGCTACCAGATCTCTAGTGCAGAAGAAGGAGGATCTGGGTGCATTCACCATACCATGCACCATCGAATCAATCGAATTCGCAAAGGCCTTGTGTGAATTAAAGGCTAGTATAAACTTGATGCCGCTGGCCATCTAAAAGCAACTGGGATTAGGAGTTCCAAAACCCACAACCATGAGGTTGATGATGGTAGATAGGTCAGTGAAGCAACCTGTGGGCATCCTATGTGATGTGCTCGTAAAGGTGGAGACATTCATCTTTCCGGCAGACTTCGTTATCTTGGATTGTGAAGTAGATTTTGAGGTTCCCATTATTTTGAGAAGACCATTTCTGGCCACGAGACGAGCATTGGTAGATGTTGAGCGAGGTGAACTGAAATTCAGACTCAACAATGAGGAGGTAAAGTTTAATATTTGCAAGTCCATAAAGCAGCAACATGACATGAATGTGGTGTCTGCAATAGATGTTTTTGAGGAAGAAGAAATGGGAGCAACCATTGAAGAGAGGCTGGCTATTGAAACCTTGGCTGCAGCACTGATGAACTATGAAGCTGATTTCCGGTCTGACTATGTAGAAACCGTGAATGCTTTACAGGGTATGGGAGCACACTCTTATGATCCAAAGAAATTGGACTTGGATTTAAAAAATAGGCCAAGTCCTCCAGCAAAACCATCCATTGAGGAACCACCTATGCTAGAACTGAAACAGTTGCCCAGTCACCTAAAGTATGTATTATTGGGAACTAACAACACTTTACCTGTAACACCCCTAAAATACTAGATCAACTCTTGCATGTCAATGCATCATTTCTTAATTACTACAATACGTTTTACTCTTATTTTGGGAACTTGAAATTTTGTGCTATATGCAACCTTGTTTAAAATAGATTGTGCTCGTAATTTAAGGTATTGTATGTGGGTATTTACATAATTTTTCTAATTAAAATTACATATGAATTGAAAGTGTTGGTAAAAATTATATACATATAGGTGTATATGCATACATTTAGGGCAGCACACAATAAAATGGGGCAGCACCCTTTAGGGACAGTTGTATGTGTGACTAAGCTTCACTCATTAGACTATATTATCACACCTCCTCTTGTGATTTTCGTTTGGAACTGAAGTCCAAGAACATAAGAACATTTTCTAACCAGTTTTCATCAAAATCACAAGAGAAAACCTTGGTCCTTCTAGTTGGAAGTCGAGACATCCTACCTTTTGGTTAGTAATCAAACTTGTTTTTTTGAAACTGGGTAGTGTTTAGTAATTTTAGAATATCTCATTCTGTATAACTTCTTTTGAGGTGAATAAATATGTGTTGGAAAGCTGATTACTATACCTACAACTCTTATGTTTATGGTAAACTCTAATATAGCTATTAGGACGACGAAATAAGGGACGCAACCTATGACATGTTCTGTCCAGATTCTGGAATTTGAAATCCTGTATGTCAACTGTTAGTGTTTTGTTTATATATTTTTGTACAAAGCATATTTTGCGGTGATTCTTGATTATTTGCAAGATTAAGAGATGTACCTACATCTTTTATGAAGGATATAAATTCCATTTTGGCCGTTTTCTGTTTCAAATCTAAGTTACGACATGTAGTGCTTTTATTGGGCAGAATTTCTGTTTTGGAACTATAGTCGTATTTGTACAATCTAGGATTACTTGTGATAGTAACCCTGTGTTATGCCATCATTATTGAGCTACTAGAAAGTAAATAAGCGATTGAATTCATTTTTTAAGGTTGTATATCCTCGTGTACGAGTTGAAGACTTTGATACGCTGGTTGGTCTACGATTTGAACTCGTGAAGTTGTGTTGGACTGTTTTTGTGCTAAAGAACTGAGGTTTGTGTATAAACCTATATTTGTATTTTTCTTTACCTGCTGTTTATCTGAAAGTTATCTTGGTACTTTGGTTACATCTT